AGTTTTTGAATTATTATTTCAGTATTTAGGAAAATATATTATGAATTTATCATTTTACAACATTTAAAGAATAAAAATTAGTATACACAACTGTCGGGAATTATCGGTACGGCTGCACGCGCACCAGTGTTGTCAAGTTAGTGGTTTTTCCACTAAATTTAGTGAGATTTTGGCCCTTTAGTGGCAATTTTAGTGGGAGGATTATTTTAGTAGAAAAATTAGTATATTTTTTTTTGTTTAGTGGATTTTTTAGTATTTTTTACCTAAAAGTAATTTTATACTTTCTCACTCATAATCTAGTTACAAAACGCACTTTGAGCATGTTTTTATAATATTTAAATCATAAATAAATTTTACCTAAAATTAATAAATGTTTGAAATTTTTTAAAAATATCTTTAACTATTGTAGTAAATTGTTATATGTTAAACTATTATATTTTATGGCAAAATTATTTAAATAACTTTTAAAAAATCAATGTGCAAATTCAAAAAATTTGCGTTCAGATACTTTTAGTGAAAAAAAAAATTTTTAGTGGAAAATAAATGTCAATCTAGGGGGAAAGCGCTATAGTGATCTGGAAACACTGACGCGCACAAGCCTAAAACATACCAATCTTCAGTGGCGGATCCAGAATTTACTCCAGGAGGGGGGGTCATCTTTAGATGTGGCGAGCGACGACTATAATTAGCTGATCTTTTTTTATGTAAATTTTTCACCCCAGGGGGGGGAGGTCATGGCCCCATAACCCTCCCTCTGGATCCGCCACTGCCAATCTTTAAATCACGATTTCTTTGTATAATTACAAATGTCAGAAAATTAACAAATATACCATTCGAAAGATTATTAAATTTTACGATTAATGATGCATAACTGAAAATTATAATAATTTATACAAAGATTGCAGCAATAGACAAATATTTGACAAAAAAATTTTTAAAATATAATTTTTTCAACCCCTGCACATTTTTTAGAATTTGTAGAAAAAATTTGAAACTTACGTAGGTGCGTGATGATTCAAGTCTCATCTTTAATTTAGGACCAGAAGAGTTTAAAAATCTTATTTGGTTCGTAATATATCATTGTAAACGTCCGAACATGTTTTTTGACAAATGCATTGAATTAGTCGATTTTGAACGGTTTTTGGATGAAAATGCTCGGACCGTTACAATGATATCTTTCGAACCGAATAAGATTTTTAAACTCTTTTAGTCTTAAATTAAAGATGAGACTTGAATGATCACACCTATATAAGTTTCAAATTTTTTGTACAATTTTTAAAAAATGTGCAAGGGTTGAAAAAATTTCCAAAAAAATTTTATTTTTTAAATTTTTTTGTCAAATTTGTCGATTGCTGCAATCTTTGTATAAATTATTAAAATTTTTAGTTATGTATTATTAATCGTAGAATTATTATCTTTCTTTTATTATAATCTTTAAAGATTATTATCTTTCGAATGGTATATGGGCATATCTCTAGAACTTTTAAACTTTTAGGTATTGGAAAACTTAATTTTTCTTTTCAAGCCACATTCTTGAAATTAATTTTATTGTTTTGTGCATTGATCAAATAGTAGAAAACACCTTGCGATACTCATTTCTACACATTGTTAACTCCCCTGTGTATGAGTTTAACCGCAAGAAAATGTTTCTAAATGCTGTGATGTGATAAATTAATTCGGGAAAATACTATAGTCCACCAGGATAATTTCGCTCGATAATTTTATGCACTATCAACTCCAATCTTAAATTTTGACGAATAAAAAAAATACTTTTCTTCTTAACAATAATAATAATAATTCTAACTCATTTACTGAATAACCCAAATCCGAAACAAACCAAACAGTGTTGGGCGCCAGGTTCAAAAGGAACCAGTCGTAACAACCAACATAACCAAAGTTAAATATTTATATCGTCCCAATTTAAGATTTATTTAGTGTCCGGCTAACATAAGTGGAGAAGGGGAGGATTCATCTCTTTATGCTGAGGTTTCTCTTGCGAATTAGACAACCAAATTTGTAATAAAATTCTATATTTGAAATTTCCATTAAATTCAACAATTCTCAAAATTTACAGTTATTAACGAAATTTGGTTCAGAAATCGAAAGTATTTATAATAACAAACAAAGCGCAATATAATCTTGAAACATTCCACGACTTGAATAACTCATGAAATCAGACTCAATAAATCGAACAAAATCATGAAATAAAACATCTAAATTTATCCGAAATTCGAGTAAATAAACAACACTAAAATAGAATTAATCAGCAATCAAACGCAAATAGACAAAATTAGTTTACCATGTAAGTTTCCGAGATTTCATTTTAATGGGAGAGAAGTTAAACTTTAAAGTCGAAATAATTATCACTATTATCACTTAATTAACGAAAGAAAATCTCCCATTAATTCACACTACATGATTTTGCATCATGACTAACGAAAATCGCAAAATGTCGGAAAATCACATAAAAGAAATTAAATTATCGAAATCTGACATACTAAATAAATAATAATCGAAATTTATCTGAATTCTTGCGGAACACTCTTAATTTTCAGACACTCAAAATTCTTAAATCTCATAATTTAACCGATTTAAATGTTAAGTTGAGTTTTGTCGGTAAATGGCACATTTCAATTTACTAATACGCACAAATTAATTGAATCTTGTAAAGAATTACGCGGAAACAAAGAAAAGGGGGGCATATTTTCGGAAAATAACAAACAAAATAATTAATCGAATGAATTACAAGAATTAAATCGGTAACAAAGCAATAATTGGTCTCATTATCATAAATTTTCACAAAATATTAACCTACCGGCATGGAGCCGACATATTCCCGAGCACATGTCCAAGTTCAATTTTTTTGCATTAGTCATTTTATGACTGAAAAAGTGAACTTAAAGCGAAAGAGAAATTAAATTTAACAAAACTCACTCACCAATTAAATTTTTGTCACGAGAAGAGGGTATCTACTTAATTCTCCTCTCTCGGAAAATGAAAATATGTTAATTTACAAAATAATTGGCTTCTGCCTGGCGTCACGGTTTTTACAGTATCTCTGTATATAAAAAAAAATCAAAGAAGAACCGAGAAATGACAAAGAGTGGAAACTGGATAACGACGATGTGTATGAAATCTCAGGTGTTGACGGTGATCGCTGATTGGCTGATTGTTTTTCGGAAATTTTCTGCTACTGGAAGTGGCGCGTAACTTATTCAAATTTGATTTCACTATAAACCAAATTAATGTTTTTGGTAGATATTTTCAGTAATTCCAATGACTATCCGGCAATAAATGTCCATTCTTGAGTCCTCAGGTGCGAATAATTAATCTACTTAGCGTTTCTGACTAAATTGGACGTTCTTCAACATAACCTCAAAATTAGGATTTTCGTCCTCCTCATCCATCGGGAATCGTAGTTAACTAAGGAAATAGGTAACATTGTCGCTGTCGACTGCGACGCTGTTAATCGTAACAAAATGATGCTGTCCGTAGAATTCATTCGATCAGCTGTGCGAATCTCGTTCTCCGGTTGGCAGCAGTGTCATAACAAAAACATGTGTGCTTAACCTCAAATTTCGCCCAAGTCATAATGTTGAGCCTCAATCTTCGGTGAATCAGCAACAAATATCCGAAATCTCTTTATCTTGCTCATCTATTACATGTTTGAATCTTGCATAGATAAATGGTAAATACAACTATGGTTGTCGTAACGAATTTTCCTCGATAACAATGGTTTCCCTCATTTTTGCAGATTATTGGACTGGCTTCATAATTCGAATTGACAAGTTGGACTCATTCTCCGAAAATATTGCGTGTTGGCTTTTGTGAAATTTAAATTGAACAGTTACTATAGAGAGTGATTTCCGAACGTCTCATCAGCAAATAATCCTTGGTCCTTGGTCCTTGGCTTGACTCGTACAAAATTTACATGAAATAAGGAGAGAAGACGGCAGTACAAAATAATAATTATAATCTAAAATCGCAATCGGTCGTGGAATGTTTCGTTCTTTCGCAGGTACCGTGTTGCCAGGGATTTCAACTACTTAATTAATTAATTATCGTGTGTAACTTGTAAACAAAAGGTAAATAATACAAAAAAAGGCAAGTTTTGTGAGTTGCAAAAATTGCAACGTCACAACTATCCCTCCCTTATAAGAGGCCGAATTAGGCCTTCAATTATAAACTTATCCGATTTGCAGTAAAATTTATTCATAACTAAACTAAATTTTTGAATCAACTTCTTCTTAAGTTACACACGATAGATTTTAAAGAAAAGACTATGGATTTTACTTTATTTAGTTTTAGGTATTAAATTATGCTTCTAAAATCGGGACACAACTAGCTGAAATTTTAATTAATCAAATTTTAAATAAAATATAATTGTAAACAACTATTATAAACTACTCGACATAATGTGCTACCCCGATACCGAGCTAGTGCTCTGGAAGCGTAGCAAATTAGCAACAGCAAGTAGCAAAATTTAATAATTGAAAGGGTAGGATTCCGATAGCCCTCAGGGTGAGAGGGTTTTGCCAAATCAATCTCTCCCAATTGATCGGGAACATTCCACTCCATGACCGATAGCAAAAAAAAATCATTTAAATTTCATAACTAGGTCATTTAAATATATTAACCAAAGTGACTCATTTAATGAACAGGTAGAATAATAAAGATAATACGTAAAATGGACTTAACTAAATTTGTTTAATTTTCAATAATCGATTGATACAGGTTATGAGTATTGACCATATTTGTTCATAAGCTTAAATCAACGTAACTAAATAATCTTATTCTTTTAATTTTTAAGCTATAATACTGACGTTGGTAATTCAACTAACAGTCGATATAAACAAATTGACTCATTAACTTCTTATAAATAACCAACGATTTCAAATAATAAAAAAAATAATTTTCGTATAATTTGACTTATGAATAAGGAAAACAAAGTGAAATTTTAGATTAGTAACCAAAAAAAATAGTAAATTTAATTCGGCTACAAGAAATTTTAACATCAACTAGGTTGACAAGTAATTATTATTGGAACAACAAAAAAAGAATTTCAGCAATTATACTTCGATATTATTGGAACAAAAAAAGAATTTCAGCAATTATACTTCGATATTATTGGAACAAAAAAAAGGAATTTCAGCAATTATACTTCGATATGAACAATATTTGGACGTATCTAGATTGTTTTACGGTTCGATAGTCTTGTTTCATACAAGTTTTAATCATTAATATAGCAAAAAAATGGAATAATCTTCTAACAAAAAAATAGAAATTTTGAAACTAAAGAGGTATGAATACTCAACATATGTGTTCAGAGGTCTCAGCGATATAAAAATAAAAGATTTACACGATTCACATATTATCGGATTCTAACGATGGGCGATCTTAGTCGCGTCGGATATTTTTAGTACAGTATGGACACTCGGACGATTTTACTCCTTCCAAACCGCAATGGTAGCAAAATTTACGCTCAAACGGCTTATCACAAGCAGGATAGTAGTGAGCTGAGCTCCCGCAGTTCCAACAGCCTGTGCGCCTTCTTGAGACTGCGTTTAAGACATATACTTCGGGATTATTGTTAAAAGACAGTTCTTTACCTATATCCACTAGAGTAAGTTCGGGATTTGGCGGGAACGCATAATACATTTCCTCTTTAGAGAATTCAGCTATTTTGGATTTCTCTCCCAAACGAGTCGAAGATGAAGTTGAGGGTTTAGGAGTTTTATTAAAGCCTTTCGCGTGATTATCCAACGGTAAAGCGTGAGCTCCTGTCAGTCCTGATTCATCCTTATCCGTCTGAGAGTAGGCGTCGAGGGTAAGAGTATATTTAAGTTTCTTCTTCGTTGGGTCTATCGGCAAGTTCGTAATTTTATCTATATTGTCTTGTAGACCCGGGAATTTTGACTCGATTTTGTTTAATAGAGTCTGATGAATTTCTAGTTCGCTAGTCAATCTCGTGATTTCCTCCATTTTGTCGTTAATTGCCTCCCTCATTTGTTCGATAGTCTTCAGCAAACAGGTATTTTGGTTCTCAATGGCTGTAGTCATACTAAATAAGTATGCAAGTTCTTCTTGAGCTCGATTGATTGTTTCTTTCATGTCCGTAGCGGTCTCGGGAACACAATTGTCATTCTGATTTTTTCCAGACATGTTTATGCGAGGTAATTTCGTATCTCTACAGATGAGTAATTTATAACAATTGACCTGTAAAGAACAAAGCAAATTAGACATCAGCGACTGCGTGTTTATACGGTTTGAGATCCTCAATGTGAATTTTGCCGACCTTAGTGCCCTCGAGCGTACTTATTTCGTAAACTAAAGGGGAAAGGACTTTGCTGATTTTAAAAGGGCCAGTGAATTTTGCGCATAGCTTTGCTGCAATAAATTTTTCCTTATTGGAAAGTTGCCGATTTCGAGATAAAACCAGATCTCCGAGATGATATCTCAGTTCACGCCGACGAAGATTGTAACGCTTTGATTGTTGCACAAATGTTTTATCGAGATTATCAATAACCCAATCTCGAACGACACTTAACCTTTTCATGCGATTATCCCAGGATCCATGGTTGGTAAGTTCGACTTCGGTTGAATCCTCTTCTCTTTTCCGTAATGAATTTATCGGTTTTGGTTCACGTCCTAGATTTAGAAAGGCTGGTGTTGCGTTCAGGCTAGTGTGATGCGCAGTATTATAAGCGAAGCGAAATTCGGATAGGTTCTCATCCCAAGTTCGTTGATCTTTCTCGATGTACGCGACAATCATAGTCTTTAATATCCGATTCACTCTCTCCACCGGGTTCGCCTGTGGGTGATATGGAGGAGTGGTAGTGTGGCGAATGTTGAACTCTTCGGCCAATGACTTTATCGTACTATTTACGAATTCAGTCCCATTATCGGTCAACATTACTTGCGGACATCCCCATCGATTCAATACTAATTCACGGAAGGCTTCACTGATCTTTTTGCCGTTAGCCGAGCGTAAAGGCTTGAGTTCGATCCACTTTGTGAAAAGGTCTTGTATCACGAGTAGATATTGGAATTGCGCTCTACTCTTCGGTAATGGTCCTACTATATCTGCTGCGATTACGGTCCATGGTTCTTCGATGGTCCTTTGATTCATCATTCCAGGGGGAGCGGCTTGCTCTACTTTGCAGGTTTGACAAGTTAGACATTCACGAACGTAAGTCATGACTTCTCGGAAACAATTTGGCCAGAAATAGTCTCGCGCAATTCTAATATAGGTCTTTTGGATCCCTAAGTGACCTGATTGTGGGTCATCATGTGCTTCGGTAATTATAAATTTTCTCTGATCATCTCTAGGCACTAATTTCCATGCATTTGAGTCCAAACTTAATGCGTCGAGCAGTAAGTTTGGATGGTAATAATACAATTTCTTATCGATAATTCGCCAACATGGGAATCTATTCGGGAAATCAGTCACGGCAATAAATCTTCTCACATACCAAGAGTCTTTTGGATTGGCAACTAAGTTTAAGGTTTCGGGCGATTCATGGAGTCGTGATAGTGCATCTGGCACTAGATGAGAAGATCCTTTTCGGTATATAATTCGATAATCGTATTCAAGAAGGGACAGGGCCCATCGCGCTAATCTTCCTGTGGGATTCTTTAAATTATTTAGCCACATGAGACTACTGTGATCCGTGACTACCGTGAACCTATAACCCTCTAAGTATCCCCGGTATTTCTGTATGGCCCATATCACTGCCAAGCACTCCTTTTCCGTTGCCGAGTAATTTCTTTCCGGACTAGTTAAAGTTCTGCTAGCGTATGAGATGACGTATTCGATGTCATCGATATTCTGCGATAGCACGGCACCTATGCCAGTATCACTAGCGTCAGTTTGTAAAATAAATTCCTCGTCAAAATTCGGACAGGATATTATTGGGGCCTCGGTTAGGTGTTTCTTTAGTTCATCGAATGCTACTTGCTGTTCGTTACTCCAAGTCCAACCTTTTCCTTTCTTTAAGAGAGAAGTTAACGATGCGGCTATTGTGGCGTAATTTGGTATAAAACGCCTATACCAAGATGACATACCTAGGAACCTGCGTAACTGCTTGACATTACGAGGAGCGGGATAATTCAGAACGGGAGCTACTTTGTCAGGATCTATTTGCAATCCATTTTCGTTAACGAGATAGCCGAGATATTGCACTTCCTGACAACAAAATTCGCATTTTCCGAGATTTAATTTAAGTTTAGCGTCTCGGATTTCCGTTAGGACTTTCCTCAACCAATATAGATGTTCTTCAAACGTTTTAGTGACGATAATTATATCATCAAGATACGCGAAAACATTAGGTTCCATATCTTGGCCTATGAGCTTATCTAGCAAACGTTGGAAGGTCGCTGGCGCGTTGGTTAATCCAAAAACCATTCTCTTATACTGAAAGAGACCTCTACCAGGGACTGTGAACGCGGTAATGGGTCGGCTATCAGGGTGTAACGGAATCTGCAGAAAACCTTTGTGAAGATCTATCTTAGATATGTATCGAGCACTTCTTAGTTTATCCAAAATGGCGTTCATTTGCGGAAGCGGGTACGCATCTTTTTTGGTTACAGCATTAACCTTTCGAAGGTCCAAACAGACACGGTAAGTTCCATCTGGTTTCTTGAGCATGATTAAGGGTGACGACCAATTTGCAGTAGACGGTTCCACAACATCGTCCTCGAGTAATTCATCTAATTCTTCGTACATAAATTGCATAACTTTTGGCGACATTTGATAGTATCTCTGCTTAATGGGTTTACTATCTCCTACGTCAATTACATGTTGGACTAGGTCCGTCAATCCTATTTTCCGATTATCTTCAGGGATTTCTTGTTTCAGAAATTCAGCCAAGATATCAACTTGATCTTTAGTCAGTTCTTTAATACCATTACATTCTTCAATTACCGTGGGAGCAATTTCAAAGGGGTACCATTTGTCAGGAATGGCCTTATATGACCAGGAACGGGTCTTAAAATCGGTTATTATTTCAAAGGAACGCAAGAAATCTAATCCTAGAATGATTGAATAGGGCAAAGATTTTAATACTCTAGCATTAATATATTTTCGTTTACCGTTTAATTCGATGGGAAGACATAACTCTTTGGACAAGACTTCAACACGACCGTTTCCGAATTGTACTCTCGCCTTTGAGTCTTTAAATGGAAGTCGCAGATGTTTTATCAAACTCAAGGCTGATCCACCTATAAATGTTCTCGTGGCGCCGCTATCGATTAATGCTTCGAAGGTGATATTCTCGATAGTGATTTTCACGAAGGGTAAAGACTCGGAATTTTCTACAGGGATTCGGTCATAAGGAATTTCCGATAGTTCTAATAACTTGTGAGTGATTTCGCAATTAGGGAAATCAGAAAATTCCCAAGGTTCGTCAAGATCCGATTCGTCCAAATAATCTGAAATTTCGCTGAGTTCTGACATCGAATCTGCGGAAGATACTTCACGAGAATCAGGGTTTAAATCTAATGATGATATGGAAATAGCGTTCTCGGAAATTGAACTCTCTGTCACGGTTAAATCGAGATAGGGCTCTAACGAGAATAATGGAACCGGCACTGCCCCAGTTAACGGTCCCTTCTGGAGTTTTCCGCACACATTGGGCACGTCGTTCTAGTCTCGCCCTTCTTTCCGCAACCGAAACAATATATTATGCGGGGTTCTTTACATTGTAGACTGCGGTGACCCGGTTGATCACAATTCCAGCAGACCAGGACTCTTAAGTTCTGATCGTCTTTTTCCCCGTTATGGTTATTTTGTTCTTTAGTAGCGGGCTTAGACGTTTCTGAAGGTTTCTTGTCTTTATCGGAAGACTGTATGCTCTTACTCGCGTTTGTTTTATTACGGCTGTTTTTATTTTGATCTCTAAATTTATTGTCGGGCTTTTTATCATTAAGGAGAAAGATTTCCTCATAATCAAGTCCTTCCTCTTCTTCATTATCAGATACAATAACAGTGTTAATCGCTTCGCGTCTCCTAACCGATACTCTTCCTCTATAGGCCAGATCGGGCAATAATGAGCGGTCGGGGGGTGGAGGGGGTCTGTATGTTTTGACTACTCTATACGTTTTTTCAGCCGCAATAGTCATATCCTCTAATTCGATTCGCGTACGAACTTCGGAACGTCGGACAGATATCTGGAGGTGTGGTAGTAAATTGCGGTGTGCGTAGCTTATTGCTTCTTGTTCGGATAGTTGGGGCACTACGCGATCTATCATTGACCAAATACAGGTGAGAAAATCAGCGACCTTTTCTTTCTCTCCTTGTGTTCGGCGATGGATTTCTTGGCGTAATTCAAATTGAAAATCCGCGTCAGCAAATCTAATTTTGAAAGCGAAAGCGAACTCATCGAAAGATCTCCAACGACGCCTAGAGCCTCTAAACCAACTCAAAGCTATCCCTGATAGGAAGAACGGCAAAATTCGAAGTAAATCTTCCCCATGAATTGGGAAGAAACTCCTACCTTCCTCGATTCTTTTGAGGAATGACTCAGCATCTTCTTGTGATGTTCCAGAAAATCGGATATTCCATTTTCTCATCACTTCGTAAGCTGATTTTGTGTTATGATCATAACGATCTCGATAATAATCACCTTGTGAAGAAAATCTATCATAGTCAATATGAGGTCTGTTATCGTAATAGTAACGGTTATTTTCGTGTAGTGTATTACCTGGATAGGGATAATTATCATACCTGGAATTTTGAGGTATATTTGGATCATTGGGATGATTAAAGTCACTTGGAAGTGGGTCATGTGGTGTGCTACTCAGATAATCGTACCTAGGTTTTTGAGATACATTTGGATCACCGAGATGGTTAGGGTCACTTGGGAGTGGATTATAACTACGATCGGCTGCGGGTTGGGTATGTCTGTGGTAATCGAGATCGTCTTCAAACCGTACATGCTCTGGGTCAACGATTTTAACATTCGTATGTCGATTCGATGGGTAGTCATTCTCTTGATCATCAGCAAAGTTATTCTGGTCATAATCCCTATCTGAATTAGCGTATCGTAGTTCTTTTTGAGCGTATAAGTGTCGTTGTGGTCGGACATAATCGTTTCTACCCCTGTTGTCGTGAGTAATATAACCTGGTCTTCGGTAGTCGGGGACGGTACTCATGTTAAACCTAGCGAATTCATCTTCCAAGAGATTATTAACATATTGATTACCTTCACGAGGCCTAT